CCTAAACCCTAAAGCCTAAACCCTAGACCCCTAAACCCCTAAACCCCTAAACCCCTTAACCCTAAACACCTAAACCCGAAACCCGTAAACCCCTAAACCCTAAACCCGTAAACCCCTAAACCCCTAAACCCCTATAAACCCCTAAACACCTAAACCCCTAAATCCTAAGCCCTAAACCCGTAAAACCCTAATCCCCTAAACCCCTAAACCCTAAACACCTAAACCCGAAACCCCCAAACCCCTAAACCCCTAAACCCCTAAACCCTAAACACCTAAACCCGAAACCCCGAAACCCCTAAACCCTAAACACCTAAACCCGAAACCCCTAAACCCCTAAACCCTAAACACCTAAACCCGAAACCCGTAAACCCCTAAACCCTAAGCACCTAAACCCGAAACCCGTAAACCCTTATCCCTAGGCCCCGAATCCCCTTCGTTGGGAACTCCCACACTTGGTCCACGAGCGAGCTTGCAGTCATAGAGGGGTCGGAACAAGTCATACCAGTAATCATAATAATAATAATAATAGTAATAATAATAATAATAATAATAATAGTAATAGCAATGATAATTATGGTAACGATAATAGAAGTTGTAATAATAATAATAAAATAATAATAGTAATCTTCTGGCATAGCAAGGATCCCAAAGAGTGTTAAGGCCCGAATTTTACATGTCCCACACCTTCCAATTGTTGCCCCGTCGCCGTGTTAACGCAGATTATTTCGTAAACCCTAAACCCTAAACCCTAAATCATATGGCTAAGGATCCAGGTGTTTGCCTCGGGCCCCAAGCCCTCACCTCTAAGCCCCCCAAACCCCCCCAAACCAATGACATCCATGTCTGAAGACTAGAAACGAAAGCCTTGAGTCCATGAGCCCTAGAGCCCGAAATGCGAGAGGCGAAACCGCAGCTCGGGACCAAAAAGGCAGATCAACCTGCAAACAGAAGGGCTCCAACAGGGGGTTCCTTTAGCTCCCTAAACCCTAAACCCTAAAGATCTTCATGGGATCCGGTATTTGGGGGAAAAGGTTATGCTTCTGAGCCACGATAAAACTCGAGAGCACCTCCTGCAAGCCGCCGAATGCTGACAGGCACAGGCATTTCAGCCCTGGATGCCAAAATGGTGACGAAGGCCAGGGTTTATGGTATAAGGTGCGGTTTAGGGTTACGGGTGTCCGCACCCAAGACGTGGTCGAAGCTTTACGATGTAAGTTGTAGCACTTAGAAATTACGGGTCTTCGGCTTTTACGGACAGTGAACTTTTTCACTGGGGCATAGTCGTCGCGTACCGAAGGCGCACTCCTTGTCCCAGGCCAAGAAACGGTTTCTTGCGAAGTTGACGGTCGCAAGTCCGGTGAACCATGAACTCTCCCAAGCATCGACCCTGAACCGGAACCTCAAGCAGACACCCCAACATAGGGGCCGGACGTTTCTCAGTAGGAGTGTTATTTCGCATGATTCGCTCGTATATCCTATTTCTATCCCTCGTCTCATGATTCCGCCTCCTATGTTCAGCTTGGGCATGTGGTTGTCTGGTCCACATACTCAAGAAGCCGCCAAGGTTCCAAATCCCAGAGTAGCAACCTCCTCCGGGCCATCCTCGTAGTCAGTTTGATTCGGACTACGAACACAAAGCCTAAGATCCCTACCTTAAAGAACCCAAAACCTACTTTTTTGTAGGGTCCCTATAAATCCCCATACTAGGGTTTATAAAAAGAACCTACAAAAAAGTGGGTTTTGGGTTCTTAAGGTAAACCCTAAACCCAAATTGGACAAACTCCCGAGGCTCCGCACTGCTGTGAACCCTACATGCTACATCAGTGGAACCCCTAAACCCTAACCCCAATAAGGGAATCCGGCAAGGAGCCTCATTATAGTTATCCAGGCACCCCAAACCCTAGACCCTAAACTGGAGAACCCTAAACCTTAGCCCCCCAAACCCCTACATCCTCTAAATCCCCTGAACCCCTAAACCCCCCAATGCACCAAAACCCCCAAACCTGACGCCCCAAAACCCCTAAACCCTAAACCCTAAACCCTAAACCCCAAACCCTAAACCCTAAACCCGAAACCCTAAACCCTAAACCCTAAACCCTAAACCCCTAAACCCCAACGCAGAGGCGAACGCCATCCAAAGGCGAGGCCGCGCTGGCCGATGCCAGGACCGCCCAACCTTTCGGCTCGGGCCTTCAGCGTTTGTAAAAGGGCTTTGGGTTTAGGGTTTAGGGTTGAGGGTTTAGGGTTTAGGGTTTAGGGTTTAGGGTTTATGGTTGAGGGTTTAGAGTTTATGGTTTGGGGTTTAGG